CTCATTCCACCTGTAAATCGACAGGATGGGACCACCTCTACTAGTAGTCAAGAGAAGGCGGACCTCTTTGCTGAACACTTTGCTACCAAAATGCAAGTTCCTGATCCAGCAAGGGACCCTCCTTGGCTAGCTGCAAGAACTGTGTCAAAACTGTCAGTGGTGACAATAATGCAGGAGGAGGTGCATTTCCTTCTAAAATCGCTTGACCAAGACAAGGCTGTGGGCCCAGACAAGTTGAGCCCAAGATTGCTGAAATGTGCAGACCAGCTAGCAGCACCTCTAACTCGCATCTTTCAGCACTGCCTAGTACAGTGTAAATGGCCCTCTCTGTGGAAAGAGGCAAATGTAGTCCCTGTTCACAAAAAGAAGAGCAGAGACAGAAATCAGCAACTAGTGACTGTCAATCACTGGCAAGATCCTTGAGACAATAATCTCAAGACAAATGACAGAGTTTTTTGACTACCACTCACTACTGTGTGATCGTCAATATGGCTTCAGGAAAGGTTACTCTGCTGCTGATCTGTTGTTAAACCTCTCCACTAAGTGGCACCAGTCACTGGATGAATCCAAAGTCAGCTGTGTGATAGCACTGGACATTGCTGGCGCTTTCGACCAGGGCCTCTTAGCAAAACTTCAAGCACTGGGAATTGCAGGCTCTACGTTATGTCTCCTCAGTGATTACCTTCATGGTAGATCTCTAAGTGTAGTTCTCAATGGAACGGAATCAGCAAGACATCCTATTGGGGCAAGTGTTCCACAAGGAAGCGTACTGGGACCATTGTTATGGAATGTCTACTTCAACGACCTTCTTCATCTCATCCCAGAATCACATGCATATGCAGACGACTGTGCACTGACATTCACTTATCCAAGAGAAGAAATGCCAGCTGCTCTAAGCTACATCAATCACCAGCTGAGAGCTATATCAGCTTGGGGAAATAGATGGCAAGTAACATTTGCACCTGAGAAAACGCAAATGATGATCGTCTCTAGGCACCATGATGGTAATGCTGGTGCAGTAGTAAGGATGAATGGGAGGGTATTGGCACCTGGAGAAGAAGTTGATATCCTTGGGGTGAAATTTGACTCCAAACTAACAATGAAGAACCATGTTGTAAATCTTGCAAACAAGGCAGCCAGGAAGCTTACAGCACTTCGCCGTATCTCGCATCTGCTTGACAGTAGGGGTTGCAAGATTCTGTACGAGGCACAAGTACGCTCACACCTTGAGTATGCTCCACTTTCTTGGTTTGCCTGCCCCCCCCTCTCATCTGCGACTGCTTGACAGAGTAGAGAACAGAGCAAGACGTCTCATCTCTCGCCTGACCCATCCTGGATAGATCTGTCATTTCAGCAGAGCCTTCAACATAGGAGGGATGTGGTGGCCTTACTGTTATGTACAAGGCCAATATTGTCAAAGTACCACACTTGGATCCACTCCGAGGACAGCGTGAAACAAGCTTTTATGCCACAAGACGGGCAGAAAGCAGCAACTTCACTCTGGCTGTACCCTTCTCCAGAACATCACTCCATCTGAGATCATACATACCCAGGATGACTCGAGTATGGAACACATTCGTACAGCATAATGATGTCAACGAGATAAAGTCAGTTGATCAAATGAAATATGCTGGCCCACAGATGGCTCCAACTTCATCCGTTCCTGCTTGTATGTCTCATAACAATAAAAATGCTTTCAAATGAGCTGATGTAGGTAACAGCTCTTAGCTTGCCAATAAAGTTAGGAATCCTTAACCTGTAAATAGCTTGTCAATAAAGCTAGGGATCCTTAACCTTGTCAAACTTGTGTAAAAGAGAGAGAGAGAGAGAGAGAGAGAGAGAGGAGAGAGAGAGACGAGAGAGAGAGGAGAGGAGAGATGAGAGAGAGAGAGGAGGCAGGCCACAAGACACACAGACACACACAGACACACACACACACACATACACACACACACACACACACACACACACACACACACACACACACACACACACACACACACACACACACATACACACACACACACACACACACACACACACACACACCTCAGAACAGTATTCCGACATCTTAATAAGGAATCATTCAGGACCCTGTACACCGTGTTACGTTAGGCCCATATTGGAGTATGCGGCACCAGTTTGGAACCCACACCTAGCCAAGCACGTAAAGAAACTAGAGAAAGTGCAAAGGTTTGCAACAAGGGACTAGTCCAGAGCTAAGAGGTATGTCCTACGAGGAGAGGTTAAGGGAAATCAACCTGACGACACTGGAGGACAGGAGAGATAGGGGGGACATGATAACGACATACAAAATACTGAGAGGAATTGACAAGGTGGACAAAGACAGGATGTTCCAGAGATTGGACACAGTAACAAGGGGACACAGTTGGAAGCTGAAGACACAGATGAATCACAGGGATGTTAGGAAGTATTTCTTCAGCCACAGAGTAGTCAGTAAGTGGAAATAGTTTGGGAAGCGATGTAGTGGAGGCAGGATCCATACATAGCTTTAAGCAAGGTATGATAAAGCTCACGGCTCAGGGAGAATGACCTAGTAGCGATCAGTGAAGAGGCGGGGCCAGGAGCTCGGACTCGACCCCCGCAACCTCAACTAGGTGAGCACACACACACACACACACACACACACACACACACACACACACACACACACACACACACACAGACAGACACACAGACACACAGACACACACAGACACACACAGACACACACACACACACACACACACACACACACACACACACACGCACACACACACACGCACACACACACACACACACACACACACACACACACACACGCACACACACACACACACACACACACACACACACACACACACCGGGGCCAGGAGCTCGGACTCGACCCCCGCAACCTCAACTAGGTGAGTACACACACACCACACACACACACACACAACACACACACACACACACACACACACACACACAGACAGACACACACACACACACACACACACACACACACACTGTCATTGACGTGTATAGTATGCAAAATTATGGAGAAGATTATCAGGAGGAGAGTGGTGGAGCACCTGGAACGGAACAAGAGTATAAATGCCAACCAGCACGGATTCACGGAAGGCAAATCCTGCGTCACAAACCTTCTGGAGTTTTATGATAAAATACAAAAGTAAGACACGAGAGAGAGGGTGTGGGTTGATTGCATCTTCTTGGACTGCAAGAAGGCCTTTGACACAGTTCCTCACAAGAGATTACTGCAGAAGCTAGAGCATCAGGTGCATATAACAGGAAGGGCACTGCAATGGATCAGAGAATACCTGACAGGGAGGCAACAACGAGTCATGGTAGTAATGATGTATCACAGTGGGCACCTGTGACGCGCGGGGTCCCACAGGGGTCGGTCCTAGGACCAGTGCTATTTTTGGTATATGTGAACGACATGACGGAAGGGTTAGACTCAGAAGTGTCCCTGTTTGCAGATGATGTGAAGTTAATGAGGAGAATTAAATCTGATGAGGACCAGGCAGGACTTCAAAGAGACCTGGACAGACTGGGACACCTGGTCCAGCAAATGGCTTCTCGAATTTAATCCTGCAAATGCAAAGTCATGAAGATAGGGGAAAGGCACAGAAGACCACAGACAGAGTATAGGCTAGGTGGCCAAAGACTGCAAACCTCACTCAAGGAGAAAGATCTTGGGGTGAGTATAACACGAGCATGTCTCCGGAAGCACACATCAATCAGATAACTGCTGCAGCATATGGGCGCCTGGCAAACTGAGAACAGCATTCCGATACCTTAGTAAGGAATCATTCAAGACACTGTACACCGTGTATGTCAGGCCCATACTGGAGTATGCAGCACCTGTTTGGAACCCGCACTTGATAAGCACGTCAAGAAACTAGAGAAAGTACAAAGGTTTGCGACAAGGTTAGTTCCAGAGCTAAGGGGAATGTCCTATGAAGAAAGATTAAGGGAAATCGGCCTGACGACACTGGAGGACAGGAGGGTCAGGGGAGACATGATAACGACATATAAAATACTGCGTGGAATAGACAAGGTGGACAAAGACAGGATGTTCCAGGGAGGGGACACAGAACAAGAGGCCACAATTGGAAGTTGAAGACACAATGAGTCAGAGAGATATTAGGAAGTATTTCTTCAGTCATAGAGTTGTAAGGCAGTGGAATAGCCTAGAAAATGACGTAGTGGAGGCAGGAACAATACACAGTTTTAAGACGAGGTTTGATAAAGCTCATGGAGCGGGGAGAGAGAGGGCCCAGTAGCAACCGGTGAAGAGGCGGGGCCAGGAGCTAAGACTCGACCCCTGAAACCACAAATAGGTGAGTACAAATAGGTGAGTACACACACACACACACACACACACAGATGGCAGGGTAGGGAGTGATGGTGGTTATACAACGTTGTATGTGTACAACATTCCCTGAAATTGAACCTGTTTCTACGTTCATTGAATCTAACCTATTTCTACTATCCCTGAAACTGAACCTATTTTTATGATTAATGAAATTGAACTTATATTTCTTGAATATTGTTCCAATCACAGTATTGTTCCAGTCAGGATATTGTTTCAGTCACAGTATTGTTCCAGTCACGGTATTGTTCCAGTCACGGTGTTCCAGCCACGGTATTGCTCCAGTCACTGTATTGTTCTAGTCACGGTGTTGTGCCAGTCACGGTATTGTTTCAGCCACGGTATTGTTCCAGTCACTGTATTGTTCTAGTCACGGTGTTTACCTGGAGTTTACCTGGAGAGAGTTCCGGGGGTCAACGCCCCCGCGGCCCGGTCTGTGACCAGGCCTCCTGTGTTGTGCCAGTCACGGTATTGTTTCAGCCACGGTATTGTTCCAGCCACGGTGTTGTTCCACCCACGGTATTGTTCCAGTCATTGTATTGTTCCAGTCAGAGTATTGTTCCAGTCACATTATTCCAGTTTTCGTTCTTTTAATCAATTTCTACGTTCCTCCCTGTAGTTGGACGCCATCTTGGGCGAGCTGGGCTCTCCGGCTGACAGTGAGCTTAACGACCAGCAGCTGATGGACAGATCTGTCGGAGACGACGAGTACGACGAATACGACGTACGACTCCCAGACTCCGACGACCTTCTTGACGACGAGGACGACGTTGATATCTCCGACGACCAGATGTACCGCGGCCACAGGGTGAGTAGCGGTACTTGTTTAGCGAGTGACCTGGCGGGTGTTGATTGGTGAGTGGGGCTTGTTTAGCGAGTGATGTGGCGGGTGTTGATTGGTGCGTGGGGCGGCACTTGTTTACCGAGTGACGTGGCGGGTGTTGATTGGCGCGTGGGGCTTGTTTAGCGAGTAATGTGGCGGGTGTTGATTGATGCGTGGCGGTTGGTGATTGGTTGATTGATACGATGGGGTTGGTGTGAAGGTTGATTGCTTAATCGCCGTGGGGGGTGCGATGGTTGGCGATTGGTTGATTGACGGGGGGGAGAGGGTTGGGTGGAAGGTTGGCGATTGGTTGATGGATGAGGGTTGGTGATTGCTGGCGGGAAGGATGATTGGTTGATTGGTGCGTGGGGGTTGGTGATTGGTGCGAAGGTTGGTGATTGGTGCGTGAGGTTGGTACGAAGGTTGGTGATTGGCGCGAAGGTTGGTGATTGGTTAATTGCTGGGCGTGACTGGCGCGAAGACCGGTGATTGGCCGAACGTTAAAAAGAAAATCGCCAAAATGTTTTCTTCGTCAGGAAAAATCGTCTCTTGACACTAGTCTTAGACGACGACCAGTTAATTGGTCACCTTCCCGCTTGTAAGAAATAAATCACGTTGATTAGGTTAGGTAAAGTTTGTCAGGAAACAGGACAAGTGTTTCCTGACGCGGGTCTTGGTCATATGATGACCCACAGCTGGAGCTTTTGGTTATATGACCGAGGCCTTCCACTGGCTTACCCCTCCACCCCTTTCAAAATTATGGTTTTTATAACTAACAGTCCCCGTGTTAGTTATTATTATTATATTATGTAATTATTTTATTATTTATATTAAAAGCAAACGTTAAACCCGTATGAGTAATACATAAACCCTTAAAATAGAAGCTAAACCTATGTTAATTCCGGCTACACTCTGTCTGACTTTTTTGGGTTATCCTAGGTTCCCTACACATATGCTGCTATGTATGATAATTCTATGTAACTGTATTTGTGTTTACCTGAATAAACTTACTTACTTACTTACTTACTTACTTACACTAGCTAAAATATGTTAAAAGCTGTGTCAGTTCCCATTTTCTTGCGATCCTTCAAAGTCGAGGGGAAACTCAGAAATACTTTTCATCTCTCTAAGCTTGGCGAGCGCTGTGATCCCCTGGGAGTACACGTGGTCCCGCCTCACTTGCCACGCACACTCACTCTGTTTTGATGCAAAAGTACATTTCTGGAGTCCTCTTTACGGAAGGGCCGACCTGATGGCATTTTTTAACATAGAAAATAGGTCAGCCTTGGGAAAAGACGCGAGAAATGTTGAGAGAAAGTTTTAGCTAAATTGGAAGAGATAACCAGGACGGTAAAATTAGTTGGGATTTTTAAGCTGAATGGTTGAAGTTTATTTATGTATTTTGACGGAGATAAAGAATTATGAGAGAATTTTGTTAGGATGAGAGCATCCTGAGAGAGGTTTTAACCAGTATTAGAGCATCCCGAGAGAGGTTTTAACCAGTATTAGAGCATCCTGAGAGAGGTTTTAACCAGTATTAGAGCATCCTGAGAGAGGTTTTAACCAGTATTAGAGCATCCTGAGAGAGGTTTTAACCAGTATTAGAGCATCCTGAAAGAGGTTTTAACCAGTATTAGAGCATCCTGAGAGAGGTTTAACCAGTATTAGAGCATCCTGAGAGAGGTTTTAACCAGTATTAGAGCATCCTGAGAGAGGTTTTAACCAGTATTAGTGCATCCTGAGAGAGGTTTTAACCAGTATTAGAGCATCCTGAGAGAGGTTTTAACCAGTATGAGAGCATCCTGAGAGAGAGAGGGAGAGAGAGAGAGAGATTTTTAACCAGGATGGGTTAAATTTGAGCGATATTTCGGTCAGAAAGATGAAATGTGAAAGATTTTACTCTGGAGTGAAAGGTGAGAAATGTTAGCAAGAACGTTGGAGAAGGTTAAAAAGTATATGTACACATAAGTCAACAAATTTAACAGATGAGCCACACCATGCAACACAGTGGCTGACCACCCCAAAGTATTGTTGAGTTCTGCACGAGTATCATTCATGTTGCAAGACTACACTTAACTATTGAGACACTTTAGCACCTCTTTCTTTTTAATCATAATATTGAGACATTTATGCAACATGTGGGAATCTTTATTGAGGAAACGTTTCGCCACACAGTGGCTTCATCAGTCCAGTACAAAGGAGAAAGGTGTAAGGAGAGGAGTAGTTTGAGGCAATCAGTCCCTCAGTCTGGAATCGATGTGTTCAGTCCATCAGTCTTGTGTGATTTCTAAACCGTTAATCACATACGGGTTAACTAGCTTGATATACCTGCGACTGATGTCGCGGGGTGTATCCTCGTAGCCCGGGTTATGGCTAGGATTCCTGCTTTTGATGACCCGTTCAACTAGACTGTTGGTGTTAGGGGCCCCATGACCCGCAGTAACGCTATCAACGTGGAGGCTGATCACCCAGATGAACTGTAGGGATGTTATGAAGTATTTCTTAATGCACTAAGAATCAACACCTTCCAGGGAGGTGCCTTTGTGTTGATAATGGGGTTCTTGATTAAAAAAAAATTGGGACTGCCTTCCCTTTTCCTCAGATCAAGGCTGATTACCTTCCTTTCCTCAAGTGCTGTTTGATCCCCATGATGTTTTTGCCTCCTACTGAATATAATAATAATAATAGTAATAATAATAATATTAAACCTTTCATCATATTCGTTTCCTCTTGTTTCCCATATCCTCTTCATCGTTTCCTCTTGTTTCCCATTTGCCTCTTAATGTCCTCTTGTTCCACATTTGCATTTTAACTTCTTCTTGTTCCACAAATAAATAACAAAAAGGCACAATACCGTGACTGAAACGATACACAAATAACCCGCACATAAAAGAGAGAAGCTTACAAAGTCACACTGTGACTTTGTCAATGGTCCAAGTCGGACCGAAACGTCGTCGTAAGCTTCTCTCTTTTATGTGCGGGTTATTTGTGTATTCTTGTTCCACATTTGCATTTTAACTTCCTCATGTTCCACATTTACCATTTAACTTCCTCTTGTTCCACATTTACCATTTAACTTCCTCTTGTTTCCCCTCTTGATCCATGCACACTTACACTTATTGGTTAATAATGAATATTTTTAACACAGGGATGATTGAACTTCAGTTATATTTGTTCAACTTGACATTTTTCCACCAAATTTCAAAGGATTCAATTAACTCCGTGTATTTGTTTTTGAGGGAATAATCTATCTCCATTATTTGGCATACTTGACCAGATTTCTCAAAAAATGTATATATGTGTTTTTTTTTGAGGATAATTGAAAGTGTACGTATTAAATTTCATTCGACTCTGGGCACAAAATATCCGTCCTTTTAACTTGGCTCTTTGTGTCCTGCAATCAATGCAACAGAAAAAAAATTGCATTATATTTTCAGAGTGGAAAAATGTAATGGGAGAACGTGAATTATTTTTTTTTAATACAAGAGTCTGCCATAAAAAGAAGAATGCCCGTTTTCTGTATCGTTTTCTAAGTGAGTTTTTGTGTCCAGGAAGAAAAAATGAAACGGAATTTCTGTGGAATAGATTTTCTGGTTATAATTTGCCAGCGAGGTCCTCTTGATCCGTGGCACCGGAGCTACCACTTCCCTTCCTTGGATCATACTGTTTCAGAAGCTCAAATAAAATCAACATATCCTAGTAAATTCTGCAAGTCAGTTTTCAATACTCGTGGTGCCTGTTTATTATAATCTCTATTTTAGTTATGAAGGTATTCTTGTCTGGTGGTGACAAGGTTACGTCATTAGGTCTAAGACCTTCGTGTAGTCGATAGGCTTCAAACCCCATTAACCAACCAGTAGGCTACGGGTATATTTTGAGTGCTATAATGCGACATTACAGATACCTTTCGCTCGCTATTAGCTTTAGCAAGCTTGATCGAGCTGGCGGGGGAAACGTACTAAGAACGGCAGGAACAGTGAGTGAGAATGAGAGGGATACTAGGAATGACAGGAACAGTAAGTGGTGAGAAGGATACTAGGAATGACAGGAACAGTAAGTGGTGAGAAGGATACTAGATACTAGGAATGACAGGAACAGTAAGTGGTGAGAGGGATACTAGGAATGACAGGAACAGTAAGTGGTGAGAAGGATACTAGGAATGACAGGAACAGTAAGTGGTGAGAGGGATACTAGGAATGACAGGAACAGTAAGTGGTGAGAAGGATACTAGGAATGACAGGGAAAAGTAAGTGGTGAGAAGGATACTAGGAATGACAGGAATAGTAAGTGGTGAGAGGGATACTAGGAATGAAAGGAACAGTAAGTGGTGAGAGGGATACTAGGAATGACAGGAACAGTAAGTGGTGAGAGGGATGCTAGGAATGACAGGAACAGTAAGTGGTGAGAGGGATACTAGGAATGACAGGAACAGTAAGTGGTGAGAGGGATGCTAGGAATGACAGGAACAGTAAGTGGTGAGAGGGATGCTAGGAATGACAGGAACAGTAGTGGTGAGAAGGATATAGGAAAGACAGGAACAGTAAGTGGTGAGAGGGATACTAGGAATGACAGGAACAGTAAGTGGTGAGAAGGATACTAGGAATGACAGGAACAGTAAGTGGTGAGAGGGATACTAGGAATGACAGGAACAGTAAGTGGGGAAAGGATACTAGGAATGACAGGAATAGTAAGTGGTGAGAGGGATACTAGGAATGAAAGGAACAGTTTGTGGTGAGAGGGATACTAGGAATGACAGGAACAGTAAGTGGTGGGGAGGGATGCTAGGAATGACAGGAACAGTAAGTGGTGAGAGGGATACTAGGAATGACAGGAACAGTAAGTGGTGAGAGGGATACTAGGAATGACAGGAACAGTAAGTGGTGAGAGGGATGCTAGGAATGACAGGAACAGTAAGTTTGGGGAGAAGGATACTAGGAATGACAGGAACAGTAAGGGTGAGAGGGTTTTAGGAATGACAGGAACAG